GTAAAGTTTTCATCCATCTTGTTAGCTTTAAATAATACAATGTTTGTATTTCTGTTGGTTATATTTAATCCGAACGGTTCGTTGTCTATCATCGGTAAATAATAGTTCATTGAATCAATAATATCCACTTTATCTATTTTGCCAATTTCAAAAGAAGCATTGCTTCTATTAAAGCATGAGTCGATCATAAAAATGTTATCAACTTTCTCGCCAGCATTAATCAATTGGCGAGAAACTTCAAACGATAAAATACCGCCAAAACTCCAGCCTAGAAAGTTATATGGACCATCATGTTGGATTTCTTTTATATACTTTATGTATACAGGAGCTAATGTCTCGAACAAGAAGCCTTTTTCCATATTTTTTGCTTTAAGATCAAGATAGTAATTGTTGAATATTACCAGTTTATATTGCGACAAATGAGGCACAATGTTGTTGAAGTAGCTTTCGGCACCACCGTCGCCAGGCGGCAAAATAAACAAAATATTATCGCAACTTTCATTGATCACAACAAACGGATGCTCGAAAAAATTCGAATAGGCAGCAACTTCACGTGAAATTTGAACTTGTTCATCGAGAAAGATGCCCTCCTGAACAAAAGAAGGAATATCTACAAGAAAAATCAGTGGGTTTATATATCTGATGGATGTTTCTTAATTTAAAGATGTTTTACCTTCATTGATATGTGATGATTGCCATCGTATCGTCTGCGTATCATTGGATGGAAGTGTTTGCAGTAGTTGTGCATGTTGTCGAATAGTTGGTTGCTGAAGAAAGAGACCAATTGAGAGTGAACGAGCATCAAAACTGAATAATGACTGATAACGATGATAAAGTTGAATAAATAAAAGTGATTGACCACCTACACTAAAAAAACTGGTAGTTCTAGAAATGTGATTTCCATTACAATGAAGAACTTGACACCAAATAGTGTGTATACGTTCTTCGAACTGATTAAGAGGAGTATCAGACTTATCGGATGATAACAAAGTCGATAATGAAAAGTCAGGTGAAGGAAGCTGTTTTCTGTCTACTTTTCCATTTGAATTCAAAGGTAATTTCTCAACTATAACAAAAAGAGATGGAGTCATATGTGGTGGAAGATGAGATTGACAATGTTCACGTAGTTGTTCTTCATTTATATGAGAAGATTGAATATAAGCAACTAAATAATCATCCTTCCATTTGATGACAACACAAGCAGAGATGGATGTAATGTTAAGTAAACATCGTTCGATTTCACCAAGTTCGATTCGTTGTCCATGTAGTTTGATTTGATGATCTTTTCTTCCTTGATAATGAAGAAGACCATTGTTATCCATGCTAACAAGATCACCTGTTCGATAAAATAGTTGATCATCTATTTCGATGAGAGCTTTTGCAGTTAAGTCGTCACGTCCAAGATAACCAGCAAACACACTCACTCCTCCTACACACAGTTCACCTTCTTCGTCGATGACAGATGATTGAAAATACTGATTCATAAGTATACATTGGTAATTTGAAAGTGGTCTACCGATTGGAATACTCAGTATAGTACTTGTAACGTTGGTACAATGAGCTGTACAATCTATTGTTGCTTCTGCTGGACCGTACACATTCCATACAGTACAGTTCGTTATGCCGATATGCAATATCAAGCCGATCAAATGCACGGTAAAAGCCTCACCTACAACAAAACAAAATACATGCAATAAACGGACGAAGTTGGTTTGAAAGTCACTTACCACCACTACAAAGTGACCGTATATATTTCACAGAATTCATGTTCTGGTTTTGTAGAATAGAAGTGAAAAATATGTTTAGTAAACTTGGTACAGCTGTTAGATATGTGATTTGTTTGTTCTGAAAGACGTCGGCTAAATAACTGAAGTCAATAGTTCCACCTGGATGAAGCATAATCAAACAGCCTCCAATTAACAATGTACCAAGTATCTCTTGAACATGAATATCAAATGAACATCGTGCTATTTGTACAACTGTATCTTCTTTATTAAATAAATTAATGTAAATGAAAGAATGTATACAATTAATAAAGTTCTTATGTCGAACTTGAACCTATAAAAAGAAGCATGAAAATCAATAGGAGCTTGGAAAACTAAGTATCAGCGTACCGCTTTGGGTGTTCCAGTTGAACCACTCGTGAAAATAATGTAAGCTATGCCTTCGTCTTTCACTATCACACTAGAAAGGCAATTATAGTTCATGTCACTAACCATATTATTAACATTTAATATTGAATGAATATCAAATGTCGAAATATCATCATCAAACTGTTTTCTTGTTAACCAATGAACAAGAACAAGACGACTTCTTGTTTGTTGTACAAGAGCATGTAAACGATGTTGTGGATCTCGAGGTGACAATGGACAATAAACACCACCAGCCATTTCAATTGCCATTATACCAATCACCTAGTTTAAACGAATTTTTTATTATCTCAAACAATTATTTCTTAATTGAACTCACCATTGACAAACTTCGCTTAATACATTGACACACCACCTCACCTGGAAACACATGATATTCATTAAGAAGAGTTAAAGATAAGACTTGGACATAATACAATAGTTCACAATATGTTAATGATTGTTCATCTAGTTCAACAGCTAGTTTTTGTGGATGTTTCATTACTTGATATACAAACTCATGATGAATACAAGTGAGAGGAGATGGAAATGATATTTGTGTATTATTCAATGATTGCATTAGATATTGTTCCGTCGGTAATGCTAATTGTATTTCATAGATTGGTTTGTTTATCTGATTATCAATTATAGGTGTAGATAACTGATTTAAGATAAAATGAAATCGTTGTGAAATCTTCTCCACTGTCTCTCTATTGAACAAGTCAAGTGATGCATTGATTGTACATGATAGTTGATTCATGTTTATATCGTGATAAACAGAAAGAGAGAAGTCGGATGCACTTAGTATTTCATCTTCATTAGTGTTGAATGAGAAAGGTGATCGAATAATTTGAGAATCACCAATCATAATTGTATTGTTGTTATTGTCGCTTTTATATGATATGAATTCCAGAGATGTATCCAGGAATGCATGTTTTGAAATATGTGGATGTTGATTAAGAATACGTTGAAGTGGAAAATATGAATATTTCATACACTTTGTTGTTATATCTTGAACATGTTTGAGTAGTTGATGAAAAGACCAATGTGGATCTAGTTGGCATCGTAATGGAATAACATTCTCAAACAGCCCAATGATTGATTTGAGTTCATCTCTGTATCGATTATTATTAATGTTCGTAGAAATACATAGATCTGTTTGTCCACTAGTTAACTTAAATAGAAAGATGAAATAAATAGAAAGTGTAAGCTGTTCTAGTGATATGTTATTTGATGATGCATAAATAAGAAAGTCATGTGAGAGGTCTTGACCAAACTCAAATGAAATAGTTGTTCCACGACCAGTTCGATGCTCATTTGAGAGACGATATCGATCAAATGGTAATGATAAAGATTGATCGAGTTTACAATCATGAAGAGCATCAAACCAAAACATGCTTGCACCAGTCATAGATATTTGTTGTTCAATAACAGCATCTAAACATGAAAAGGAAGAGGAACGTGTTAGCAAAAACAAAATTACAAAAATATGTTAATATTTACAATCGAGATAATGTAGGGTAGTATCATTATTGTTAGATAGTTGACCTGCTATATATGCTTGATTAAGATCATGAAGAAATATGTTCATCGATGGAAAATCAAATAGAGCATGATGAAAGTTGAAAATAAGTACATCTTTGTCACAAAGAAGATGATTTGAAGAGATTTGTTTGTAATAAACAATATGACATCGAAAGACAAGACCTTGAGCTAGATCAAAAAGATTAGGATTAAGTTTCTCATCGGAGAAAATGCTATTAAGTTGTTCATCTGTTTCATAAGTACTTTCAATAAAAGTAAAAAGTTGTCTACTGTTGTCATTCACATCAATGATTCGTTGCATGACTAGTTTCTTTTCTGTATCAAAGATAAGTGATGTATGAAGTGATTGATGTTTTATGACAATTAGCTGAAGAGCATGACGAAGATGTTGTACCAATAAAGTATGGTATGAGTAGAGAGAATAAACAAAAGGCATGTTGTAGATTGGTACTTGTGAGATGTGAGGAGTGAAATGAATAGATTCATTATGCCACAGTCGAATTTGTGCAAATGATGCTGGTGCTATATGAAAGAGAAAGGAATCCAATATGACAAATGACATTGCTTGTGAAATCTATTTTGAGAGTTAGACAAAACTTGCATCAGTGACATAGATCCTTATTTAACCGGAAAAGCGACGCTTTAATCAAAAATAAAAGTTTTCAAACTGAAAATGACACAAGTCGTAGGTTATTTCACACCAATACATAGTCATCAATAGGAAAACTATCTGAAACGATGAATCTATGTTGGCACGTATGACAAAAATCATGGATGCGGGTGTGGATATGTATATGAATAGAGAATGCACGTTCACATCCATCCATAGTGACGCATCCACCCTGTGGTTGAGCACCGGTTCTCAGATGATTCGAACAATATAGGAACATACCTGCAGCGATGTTTCTGTATAATGCATAGATTGTCAATATAAATGTTAATTAAGAAAAACTTTATGTCTAGTTAAACATACCTTCGTTCATTATATCCGATTGTCGACAAAACATAATATCTTCCTTTTCTTGAGTTTCTTCTGGTAGAATAAGATCAAATTTCGATACAGATGTAAAACATGTATCAATTACATTCATATTTTTATTCGATGAAAAAAGTTGTTGAAAACAATATTCTAATCTTCGAGCTATGTTTGTAACTGTAATCTCATCAAATAAAGCATGTGAACAAGTTAAACGAAATGATAATCTATTATTTTCCAACATTGGATTATAGATAAATGTTAACATAAAATCAAACTTAGCCACTTCAAAAGATTGTTCGAATGACACTTGTTTTAAACTTGCTCCATTCAAAGATAATTCATCGCTGTGTGATGATATAGTAATAAAGTCATACATTGTTTCGAGAAATGAAATACTTGATTGTTTAATATGTAAACTAGCAAGAATATGTTGAAGTGGATAATGTGAATGTTCAAGAATTGATAAACATTTCTCTCGTACATATTCAACAAGATCATCAAATGACCAATGAGGATCAAGTTGAATACGATATGGTAATGTTGAAACAAACATTCCCATTATATTTTGCAGTTCAGTTTTGTGTCGATTAGCATTAAGACAAGAAATACATAAATCATTTTCACCATGCGCTAACTTGAAAAGAAAAGTGTATAACATAGTTAGACCTAACTGAAATGGTGTCACATGATGTATAGAAGCATAATCAAGAAATGATTGTGAAATCTCGTTGCCAAAAGAGATTTGAGTGATACAAGCAGAACTCGATCGATGATCATTAGAGAAACGATGTCGATCAACCGGTAACAATAATCGAGATTCTAAATTGTATTCTTCTAATTGTAAATACCAAAATTCACGGGAAGTTGACATATCAAGTAGACGTTCATGTATACTATAATCAATATATTGCAATGATTCATCATCTTCTATTGATATGGCATTAGTATTATAAGCTAAACATAGATCATTGAAAAAGATCGGAAAACTTGCTCGATCAAATGCTGCATGATGAAAAGCAATGAGAAGAACATCAGAATTAGTTACGGGCTCATTGCTATTATTTTCAGTTTCAGTTTCATTTAGTGATATTTGATGTTTCAGAATTTCAGCATGAAAAACACGGCCGATTGATAAATCGAAGAGAGTAGGATTAATAATTGTTTGGTGAATAATATCTTCAAGGTCATTATCATTTTCAAATGTTTGATTCATAGTTATTGTGAATGTTTTATGTATATCTGTGATGCATTGTTTCAAAATACCGTCATCATCGTTAAAAAGAAGATATGTACGTAATATTTTATGTTTATTCAAAACAAATCGAAATGCTTGTAATAAACAATTGAATGATAATGATCCTTGAACAACTTGTAAAGTCGACAGTTCATTATATACAGCAATATCACTTGAAAAACGAACTTGTCCATCAAGAAAGATACGTTCTTGAGCAAAAGAGGCAATACCTATCAATTAAATAATAGAAATTGTTTTAATAATTTTCCATTAAATATCTTTACCTTCGTTTATATGTAACGTATACCATTGTGTCGCCTTGATATTATTCGTTATAACTGTTTGAAGTAATTGTGAATGTTGAAATATAGTTGGTTGTTGAAGAAATGGAGAAATCGAGAGTGAATGAGCATCAAAATTGAATAATGACTGATAACGATGATAAAGTTCAATAAATAACAGTGAATGCCCACCAACACTAAGAAAGCTGGTAGTTCTAGAAATTTGATTTTCATCACAATGAAGAACTTGACACCAAATAGTATGTATACGTTCTTCGAACTGATTAAGAGGAGTATCAGATATATGGGACGATAACAAAGTCGATAAAGAAAATTGGGGTGAAGGAAGTTGTTTTCTGTCTATTTTTCCATTTTGATTCAGAGGTAATTTCTCAAGAATAATGAATATTGATGGAACCATATGTGGTGGAAGATGAGATTGACAATGTTCACGCAATTCCTGTTCATTAATATCGGAACTTTGAACATATGCAACTAAATAATCATCATTCCATTTCATGACAACACAAGTGGAGATGGATGTGATGCTAAGTAAACATCGTTCGATTTCACCAAGTTCGATTCTTTGTCCATGTAATTTAACTTGAAAATCTTTTCGACTGATATAATGAAGTAAACCATTACGATCCGTCTTAACAAGATCACCTGTTTGATAAAATAGTTGACCATCTATTTCAATAAGAGCTTTTGCAGTTAAATCATCACGTCCAAGATAACCAGCAAAGATGCCTACTCCTCTCACCAGTATTTCTCCTTCTTCACCGACAATAAGAGGCTGTCCGGAATTATCTTTGACTATACAGGAATAATTAGGTAGTGGTCTACCAAGTGGAATAGTCTCTGTATCTACTTGTGAATTGACTCGATGAAATAAAGACTGAAGAGTTGTCTCCGCCGGTCCACATAAATTCCATATAGAACAGTCGTTATTTATAATGCTTTCTAATAATTCAATAAGTCGCACAGAGCAACGTTCACCTAAGGAGAAAAAGAAGAAGAAAGAAGAACAATAGTGGAAGGTAATGGTACAAGTCAGTAGTTATATATCTACCTCCAGTGCAGAGAGATCGCAAATGTCGCATAGCATATGCTTTTTTAGTGTCTTTGATAAAATTAAATAAGAGTTGCAGTAATGTGGGTACAGTATAAAGAAAAGTAATTTCTTTCCTTTCCATTAGCATAGAAAGATACTCGAAATCATAGTTTCCTTGTCGATGTAACATGATTAATGTGGCTCCTATCATTAATGTTCCTAAGATTTCCTGAACATGAAGGTCAAACGAACATCGCGCCATTTGTATAATGATATCGTTTTTGTTAAATATATCAACATGTACCAAAGATTGTACTGATTGAGTAAAATTTCTATGTCGAAGTTGAGCCTTTAAACAACGACAATTATATATAGTATGAAGTTACAAAACTCATGTTTTTACTAACCGGTTTCGGTATTCCAGTTGAACCACTTGTGAAGATTATGTAAGCCATACTATAAGGTATTATTGTGACACTTGAGAGCCGATCCACGCAAATTACACTATCCGTCTTTGTATTAGTCAAAATTGAATCAATACCAAGTAACACGGTACCATAATTAAACTTGGTCTTGGTCAAATCATGAACAAGAACAAGACGACTTTGTGTTTGTTGTGTGAGTCCATGCAAACGTTGTTGTGGATCTCGAGGTGATAATGGACAATAAACACCACCAGTCATTTCAATTGCCATTATACCAATCACCTAGGCCACACGAATTCTTTTTATCTTAAACAATTATTTCTTAATTGAACTTACCATTGATAAACTTCGCTCTACACACTGGCACACGATCTCACCTGGAAACACATGATATTCAACAAGAAGAGTTAAAGATAAGACTTGGACATAATACAATAGTTCACAATATGTTAATGATTGTTCATCTAGTTCAACAGCTAGTTTTTGTGGATGTTTCATGACTTGATGTACAAATTCATGATGAATACAAGTGAGAGGAGATGAAAATGATATTTGTGTGTTATTCATTGATTGCATTAAATATCGTTCATTTGATAATGTTAATGATAATTCATAGATTGATTTGTTTGTTGTACAGTCGAAAGATGTGAATTGTTGATGTAACATTGTTTGTAATCTTTGTGCAATTATAAAAATTGTTTCAGTATTAAATAAATCAACGGAAGCATTAATGGTACATGAAAGTTCATTTAGATATAAATCGTGCTCAAAACTAAGAATAAAATCAAATTTACTCATTATTTCATCTGCACCAATTTTAATTGAATAAGGTAGTAAAGAAAATCGACTATCACCAATCATTATTTCATTCTTCTTATCTTTTGTCATAGATGATATGAAGTCAAATGATGTATCAAGAAATACAGGATTTGATATGTTTGGATGTTGATTGAGAATACGTTGAAGTGGAAAATATGAATATTTCATACTATTTGTCGTATTATCTTGAACGTATTTAGTGATTTTATGAAATGATAAATGAGGATCGAGCTGACATCGCAAAGGTATAGCATTCACAAACATTCCGATGATGGAGTTAAATTCATCTCTATATCGACCATGTGTGTTTATTCCAATGCACAAATCTTTCTCTCCATTTGTTAATTTGAATAAAAACACATAATAAGTAGCAAGTGCAAGATGTTCCAGTGATATTTTATTTGATGATGCATAAATAAGAAAGTCATGTGAAAGATCTTGACCAAAGTCAAATGAAATAGTTGTTCCACGACCAGTTCGATGCTCATTTGAGAGACGATATCGATCATATGGTAATGATAAAGATTGATCGAGTTTACACTCATGAAGAGCATCAAACCAAAACATGCTTGCACCAGTCATAGACATTTGTTGTTCAATGACAGTATCTATACAATCAGAGAAGATAATGTATTAGAAAAGATGAAAGTAGAAGTAGTATTTATATTTACAATCGATATAACGCAGAGTAGTGTTGTCATCATATGATAATTGACCTGTTGTATATGCTTGATTAAGATCATGAAGAAAGATATTCATTGATGGAAAATCAAATAAAGCATGATGAAAATTGAAAATAAGTAGATCTCTGTGAGAAAGCAGATTATTTGAAGAGATTTGTTTGTAATAAATAATATGACATCGAAAGACAAGACCTTGAGCAAGATCAAAAAGATGAGGATTACGTTTCTCGTCGTGTAAAATTTCATTCAATTGTTCATCTGTTTCATAAGTGGTTTCGATGAACGAAAATATATCAGTGTAATTATCTCTTCGTGTAATAACTCGTTGAATGAGTTGATTCATGTCTACATCAAAGATAAGTGATGTGTGAAGTGAGAGATGCTTGCCAATAGTGAGCTGTAGAGCTTGATGAAGTTGCTTAATGGATATAGTATGACCTGATTGAAGACGATAAACGAAAGGCATATTATAGATTGCTATTTGAGGTTGGTCCGGGTCGAATCGAATTCTTTCATCAAGCCAAATACGAGCTTGTGCAAATGATGCTGGTGCTAGAATAATGAGAGCAGTGTGGGACCTAAAACTAGGGTAGTTATAACTCGGGTTATAACTTTTTGGGTTATAACCGATCAACTTTTTGGCCAAAAAGTTAATTGAGTTATAACTATCAACCGTAGTTGTAAGTTATAACTACGGTTGATAGTTATAACTCTGGTTGATAGTTATACCTTATAACTTTAACCAGAGTTATAACTATCAACCACAGTTATAAACATCAAACGCATCAGTTTTGTCAATCTTACTAGCATTTAGAGACAAAATTGATGCAGTTGATAGTTATAACTACAGTTGATGGTTATAACTCAGGTTGAAGGTCATAACTGCGGTTGATAGTTATAACTCTGGTTGAAAGTTAAAACTATGGTTGATAGTTATAACTCTAGTTATAACTGTTTTAACTTTTTACCGATTTTGTCAACTACTAACTTTTTAAAAAATAATTTTAACTCCCACACTGACGTGTAATTATGGCTATCTTGAACTGACTTTGAACTGAAATAGTATGAATAATTAATCTTCAGTGCTGAAAAGGCACATAGCTTTTGTTTCTTCTTCTTTATTATAAGAATAATATATCTATATGATCACTATATATAGCTAAGGATTTTAAGAATTGTTCAATTGTTTTGCTGGTCGCTTTTAAAAAAGCATAGTTTCAAAAAAAAATATACATTAAGAAAAAAGAAGAAAGACAGGAGAACATTACTGATCGATCTTTCACATGATTAAAGGATTTAGGAGGTTCCCATTTGACAAAAGTTGCTAGTTATAACTACGGTTGATAGTTATAACTCTGGTTAAAGGTTATAACTACGGTTGATAGTTATAACTCTGGTTGAAGGTTATAACTGCGGTTGATAGTTATAACTCTAGTTATAACTGTTTTAAATTTTTGCCAATTTTGTCAACTATCAACTTTTTGAAAAATAGTTTTAGGTCCCACACTGAATGAGAGCTTAGTGAATTATAATGTAGAAGTTAGATCGCAGAATGATGTTTAATAACAAAATGCTAGTTACTGTTTATATAATAGTCTCTCTAACTAAACAGAATTTGTTTTATAGCATGAAATCTACGAGTGTATCTTAATTCTGAGGGAATGCCAGTTTATACTCAAACGGGCTTATGAAACATTCTACTATCATAGTTGTTCTGTGTCCTAGAATGAAATATACAAATTTTGAGCATTGGTAAGTGTTATTTTTCGTTGATTTATACAAAAATACAAGACTACTCACATATTTAGAGCAGATATTCATTAGAGACCTTTACAATTTAACTACGATTTCTCTCGTGAAAATTTATTGGATAGGTCCGACTCCAACTCACTTTCAGTGTCTTCAGCAATCTTTCCTTGAAAGTTACAAAACTAGAGCACCTGAAAAAGACAACCTGAGTCATCGACGATCACAACTCATCTGAATCACTGTTTTCCCATTATTTATTTCGTTAGGATTTGTTTTAAAACTGAAAATACTATATCTGTGCATTACAATAGACTTTACTGCATATTTCACATCACTGATTTAACCGACTAACACTTTCATAAAACAATAGAACAAGCTGCACACAATCATACCTTCATTCACAATATTCTCCAATCGATGAAATACGACTAATTCCATTTCTTCTGCTTCTTCACGCAGAATAAGAGAGACGTTGTTAATGGATGAACTCACATTCATCACAGGAATGTTGCTTGATTGGGTTTGAAACAATTGCTCCAACATATATTGAAATCTTTGAGCTATTTTTGAAATAGTTGACTTTGCAAACAAATCATGTGAACAAACAAAGCGACATGATAATCTCTTATTATCTAATAATGGATTGTATTCAAATGTTAACATGAAGTCAAATTTAGCTACTTCAGCTGATTGTTCTAATGATATTTGTTCTAAATTTGCACCATTCAAACATAAATGTTCGACATCTTTTGACACACTGATAAAATCAAACATTGTCTCAAGAAATGATACATTCGATTGACTTGATCGATTATCATAAAGAATATGTTGTAATGGATAATGAGAATGTTCAAGAATTAATAAACATTTTTCTCGTACGTATTTGAGTATTTCATCAAATGACCAATTAGGATCAATTTCTACACGATATGGTAATGTTGAAACAAACATTCCAATCATATTTTGTAATTCATTTCGATACCGATTTGCATTGACAGAACCAATACATATATCAATTTGATTATGAGTTAATTTGAATAGGAAGACATAAAATATGGATAATCCAAGTTGAAAAAGTGTGAGATGATGTGATGATGCATAATTTAGAAATGATGTGGATGTTTCACTGTCGAAAGTAATTTCAGCTATAGATGCTAAACCTGATCGTTGTTGATTAGCTGATGAACGTTGTCGATCAACAGGTAATGATAATTGGCGTGCAAGATTATATCCTTCAAGTTGAGAATGCCAGAATTCACGAGATAATGACATATCCATAACATGTTCATAAACAGAATAATCTATATAATTCAGTGTATTATCATCCACAGATAATGAGTCATCAGATTCATAAGCAAGAGAAAGATCACGAAGAAAAATTGGTACAGATGCTCCATCAAACGCCGCATGATGAATACTAATCAATATGTGATCATTTTCACTCAATAGATCATCATTCTCAAATGAAATGCTATCTTGAGATTGATGATAATGACGAAGAATATGACAACGAATAACACGCCCTTTTGATAAATCAAATAAATCAGCTTGATTTAATATTTCTGTGATGAATTCATTCATATGACGATGATCATCATTATGAAGATTAATAATTGTCAATCCATATGATTTCATATCATCGTTGAGAATGATATTTGCATCTAAACAGTGTTGTATGATACGACCATTTGTATCATCAATATAAAGTGCTGTTCGAAGAATAGTATGTTTTGTGATGACACTTTGAAATGCATGATGTAATCGAATAATTGATATATGATCATTCATAGATGATATACGATAAAGTAATGGAATAACATACATATTATTCATCGTTGTTTTGTTGGATGAAAAACGAATTTGTTCATCTAAATAGATTCGATCTTGTGCAAATGATGCTGTAGCTAGAACGATATGTAATGAAGACCAAGGGGAGTTATCCAGAGTGTAGATGGTATTGATAGATTGTTGAATGAGTTGAGCATGATGAATAATTGTTGAATATTGAAATAGATTCGAAATAGAAAGAGAATTTGTTTCTAAATGAAATTCGATCTTGTATCGATGAAAGAGTTGCATGATAAGTAACGAATGACCACCAATAGTAAAGATATTTGTATCAGTTGAAATTTGATTTTGTTTGAACATCTCACACCAAATACGATGAATACTAACTTCAATATCATTTGTTGGTAGTAATAGTTCTGTATTGTTTACGAGATGTATTGGTGAGGAGTGAGGTGGCGGAAGAAGCTTTCGATCTATTTTTCCATTTTGATTCAAAGGTAATTTATCAAGAATAATAAAGAAAGATGGAATCATATGTGGCGGAAGATGAGCTTGACAATGTTGACGTAGTTGTTCTTCGTTGATATGAGCTGATTGAACATAAGCAACTAAATAATCATCATTCCATTTCATGACAACACAAGTAGAGATGGATGTTATGGTAAGTAGACATCTTTCTATTTCACCAAGTTCAATTCTTTGTCCACGAAGTTTGATTTGATGATCTTTTCTTCCTTGATAATGGAGAAGACCATTGTTATCGATTGTAACAAGATCACCTGTTCGATAAAATAGATCACCATCTATTTCAACAAGAGCTTTTGCAGTTAAATCATCACGTCCAAGATAACCAGCAAAGACACCAACACCTCCAACAAATAATTCTCCTTCTTCGCCAATAGAAACACGTTGTAAATATACATTGAATACCTTGCATTGGTAATTAGCAAGAGGACTACCTATAGGAATATCCAGATGACCAGAGACGGAGTTAATAAGATAAATTGTCGATAGCATTGTTGTTTCAGCTGGTCCGTATACATCCCACATGTAGCATGTTTTCTCCACGCAGTGTTCTAGGTGAGATACCAATTTGTGAGAAACAGTTTCACCTAAAATTTAGGAAAAGGTTGTATAATTGTTTTTTTGGGTATTCTACTAACCGCCAATTGCAAGTGATCGCAGTGTAACTAAAGGATTACTATTAAAACTCTTTTCAATAAAATTGCAGAAACGGTATAAGAAACTAGGGACAGATGCCATATACGTAATTTGTTTGTTTTCTAGCGTATTTGTGAAATATAAAAAATCCATGTTTCCATAAGGATGTAACATGACAACAGTCGCACTTGAAAGTAAAGCACTGACGATTTCGTGAATATGTGCATCAAATGTAGAAGCAAAAACTTGAATCACAGTATCCTTTTCGTTAATATAATCAATGTACTGAACAGAATATATAAAACTTAGGAGATTTTTATGTCTTGTCTGAGTCTAAAACCAAGAGAAGAAATGAAACATATTTTAGAATGCAGCGAAGACAAACCGCTTTAGGGACGCCAGTGGAACCACTTGTGAATATGATGAAAGCTATGTTGTCAGATGTAACGTTTATACTTGATAGTTGATCAACAACAGTATCACTTTTCATATCATTGTTAGTCAATACTAGATCAGTATTGACTGAAATTATATTATCGTTAAACATATTCTTTGTCAACCAATGAATAAAAACAAGACGACTTTGTGTTTGTTGCGTGAGTGCATGTAATCGATGTTGTGGATCTCGAGGTGATAGTGGACAATAAACACCACCAATCATTTCAATTGCCATTATACCAATCACCTATATGATATGAAAACCCCAATCAGACTAAACATCAATCCCAAAGAACTACTTACCATTGACAAACTTCGCTCAACACATTGACACACCACCTCACCTGGAAACACATGATATTCATTAAGAAGAGTTAAAGATAAGACTTGGACATAATACAAGAGTTCACAATATGTTAATGATTGTTCATCTAGTTCAACAGCTAGTTTTTGGGGATGTTTCATGACTTGATGTACAAATTCATGATGAATACAAGTACGAGCAGATGGAAATGATATTTGTGTGTTATTCAATGATTGCATTAGATATTGTTCATTTGATAATATTAATGATACTTCATAGATAGGTTTGTTCATTTGATTATCAATCATAGATGCAGATAATTGATGTAAGATGGAATGAAATCGTTGTGAAATCTTATCCACTGTGTCAAAATTGAACAAGTCAAGTGATGCATTGATTGTACATGACAGTTGATTGATGTTCAAATTATGATAAATAGAGAGAGATAAGTCGGATGCACTTAATATCGCATCTTCATTAATATTGAATGAGAAAGATCCTGGAACAAGTTGAGAATCATCAATCTTCTCTGTATTACTATTCTTGTACGATATGAATTCCAGAGATGTATCCAGGAATGCATGTTTTGAAATATGTGGATGTTGGTTCAGAATACGTTGAAGAGGAAAATATGAATATTTCATACTATTTGTTGTCATCTCTTGAACATGTTTGAGTAAATGATGGAAATGCCATTGAGGATCTAGTTGACATCGTAATGGGATGACATTCTCAAACAATCCAATGACTGATTTGAGTTCATCTCTGTATCGATTATTATTGATATTCATAGAAATACATAAATCTGTTTGTCCATTGGTTAATTTAAATAGAAAGATGAAATAAATAGCAAATGTAAGATGTTCAAGTGGTATGTTGTTTGATGATGCATGTGTAAGAAAGTCATGTGAAAGATCTTGACCAAAATCGAAAGAAACAGATGTTGTATGACAAGTTCGGTGTTCATTTGCAAGACGGTATCGATCAGAAGGTAACGACAAAGGTTGATCAAGTTTACAATCATGAAGAACATCAAGCCAGAACGTACTTGCTTCAAGCATCGACATTTGGTGGTCTTTGGATGAGCTTTTAGGGATCATGTCTGTACTTGGGTCTGATAATGATATTTGCTCACAAGGAAGAAGGATAGTTAATTTGCAAATGGATTCTTGAAACATCGGAAATGAAAAGAGTTGCGTAAGAATATGTTGGAAACGCTTTGATAATAGATCGACATCATCTTGATGTTTAAATATATCAGTCGAACATTTCAGAAAACATTCTGTACTTCTCGTATGATGGTGATGGATAATTGTAAGAGAAATATCAAATAGTGATATACCGTTCTGGCGATTTAGATCCCTATCATAGTAACCACTTACAACCGAACCTTCGCTCACAGTTAATTCGATTGAGTTTTTCTGTATCATTGATGATACTACAGATTCATACTGGAAAAACGTTGAAGGTAATACATTAATTTCTCGTTTGCCTTGGGAATCAATAATCTGTTGATAAGGTAAAGAAGCATGCTCGAGAATTTCAGTACTTAGCTGTTGTACTTGTTGCACGAGATGTTTAAATGTAGTATGTGGATCGATTTTGATCCGGTATAATAGAAGATTGACAAACATACCAATCATATCTTGTAACTCTTTCTCAGGTCGATTAGCTACGCTACTTACTACACACAAGTCATCATCATGATTGGTTAGTTTAAATAAGAATATATAATAACAGGCAAGAGACGATGAGAACATTGTCACATTGTTGGTAGAAGCAAATAACATCATTGCATCAACAACATCTTGATCGATAGTAAACGCAGCTGAATAACCACGGCCAGAATGATGTCGATCAGATCGGTCTTCATTGGGTACTAAATATTGTATTTTATCCCAGTTGTATCCATGCATAAGATTAGCCCAAAATCGACGAGCCTTGTTCATTTTGGACTCCGCGCTGGTATCAGCTAGCAATGCCTGTTCATACAATGCAAAGTCAATGTATTGTGGAATTGTTAACACTGATTGCTGATATTCATTTTCCCAGCATGCTCGCTCAAAGGCTTTTAGAAATGGTTTGTAAGAGCTGAGATCAAATGCGATATGGTGGATCACGAAAATAATAAGATCACCTTCGTGCAGTGAATCATCACGATTTTCAGGAGATCGTTGCACTACATGGCATCGTAAGACTTTTCCGTTTTCAACATCGAAATATTTTCCAATTGATTCGTTCGTCAGTAGACGATCAAGTTGTTCCAATGTGAAAACACCTCGGGAATGTTCAAACGAATAGATATCCTCGGTAAGTGATTGAATGTTTTGCTCGATTTGATTTCGTATTGGATTGAAACGAATGGCAGTGCGAAGAACTGTATGCTGCTGAATTACTGAAACTAAAGATAAACGAATATGTTCTATTGACACTGAACCACATTTTATTGTCAACGGGATTATATAATTGTAGGCAGAAAAATCGAAGCCGCTAAAATAAAGATTTTCATGCATGTAGATACGTTGCTGAGTAGACGAAGCTACAGCTTCTGTTCGGCCAGAAACCATCAGCCGTTGTGCTTTATGATTAGTGTTTGCAACTGTTGAATTCTTGTTTGGAAACATTTTTATGTAATAAACAAATAGAAAATATCTATTGATAATGCAAAAAGCCGATTACAATCTAGAAATAATAAAAAGATAAGAAAAAAACAAACATGAATTTGAACACATCAGAGAAAAGCTCAACATGATTAAATTCGTTATTATTATTGTAATTAGAAAATCGAAACTGCAGTTTCTATCGTTCATATAGGAATTCGATGGGCTATCATCATCTAATAATATTTCACAATCACACAAGAAAACGAACTAAGATAATATGATATTATATTGGATAAGAAGGAAAAAACAATGTTAGTTTAGTAGTGTTAGTATATAAGTTGATTAATTATTAGTAAGTATTCACAGACAAGCTTGTTTAGAACCAGTTTCATCTTCTAGTGATATCTGTAGAATAATCGGATAGTTAACGTCTCTCTCGATTATCAAAATACTGAATTTTCATCGGTAAATTAAATGACAAATAGAGAAATTACGATACAGTATAGTATCACAATGTATGCAGAGCCTAATGTTTTAATCTTTCTTAATCAAAATGAGCGAGCAGAATGAAAATAATTCTGATGATTTTCATAAGTCACAAGTATCATCGGAAAAAACTTTTAAGAACAAACCGTAATCATGACCTGCTTTTAGAATTTTCTGACCAAATACATATCTGAGTAAAACTACAACTCAAAGTATGATAATATTGGCATTCAAAGTAATTCATGATGCTATTTTCAGTCGTATTTTTCCTGAGAAATGTTTAAGTAATTATAATCGCTTTGAACTTAGAAATTTTAATGTTCTTTTCGGAGAAAGCATTTTCTATAATAAACTAATATATTATAATAAAGACACATTATTTATTTTTATTACTAAGGATTTTTCTTACCATAGTAAATTTTATTAATCTATTTATTGATGACTACTCCTAGCTTGCTTGTTTGGATGTATTCGGAGTCATATAGAGTCGGCTTATAGCTATCCAACACAACACTTTTTCAAAAATTTTTTTGTACATCATCAATTAAATCTTATATTTGAAGGACATATACTAGTTGGCATAACTTAAATATGTAGCATATGATTAACTTCTAGGTATGGTAGTTTGTTTAAAAGCATACAAATACACACCGGTCAATATTATGATAACAAGTCTGGATTCTAACAAAATCTTATGTAAAGAATGCTCAATATGTTTATTGCTATGACAAACGTTTCGATAGGATCACTCAGATTTGCTATTCTAATTTCGATCTTCATACATTTATACGCTTTTGAGCAAGTTGCCACATCTGGATATTGGCAATAGACTACATCTTTCAGTTATGCTGTCTAATACTAGTGATATAAATATAAGATCTAACTGACGATGTATAAAGAAAAAATTGAAAAACATTTTGTGTTATGTTACTTTTGATCGACTCTGTATGTAGAGTTTCTCGGAGATGGATAATTTTTCTTGTAAAATTCACCCTAAAACAGATGAAGCTTTTTGTTCAAAAGAAACAGTAGTAGATTTTGAGAACTAAAATTTTATGTAAAACTATATATTTCTTGCTACAGTGCGTAAGAATGCTGGAGTACTAACGTAAGATGCATGAAATTTTACTTCCGAGTTCCCTTATTTTGATGATTAGGAATTCTACAAGTATTTCTATAGTGTGATATCTGATAAATATTAGAATTAGTAAGTAAAAAACGAATTCAAACTAACCCGACCATCAATGTCCGGAGAGTATTAATGTTATTATCATTCTTGGTTCTAATCGTCCAAAAGAAGTAATGGAATATCGATAATCATAAAATGATCTTTGAGTTGTCTTATCATTTCATGTGCAATGATTTCTCCCTGTTTGTTGCGGACAGCCACTAATTGGTATGGTCCACGTGGTTGAATACGACGCATTTGCAAAATCATATCACGAGCATAAGTAGATGTCGATGTTGTTGATGTTACTGATAGTATTTTTATAGCATAAACGAGAACTGATCTTGTTTGACTTTGTAGCCCATAAATGATTTATTCAGGTTATCAGTATTGATTAGTGACTGTTCTGTAATACAGAAGAAAACATGACTATTGCACTGCTGTGGATGTTGAAGACAGATGGTATTCTCTGTACCAGTGTAATTAGAGTTATGAGATAGTTTTTTTTCATTTTCTTTTATTAGATCAACATCCATGTTTTCTTCTTTAGTATTTGATGATACAACTTGATGTCATTCGTTGAGCTTATTATGAATTACTGTTGCAATAGTCTCAATAGAATTTCCTTGAAGAAGATCAACCAATGGCATAAAAACAGTGGTCTCCTGTCCCAACCAATTATAGAGTGAAAGAGCTGCTAATGAATCCATACCTTGGACAGTCAGCGAACGATCTACTAGGATACGAACAATATCTGCTGCACCTAGAAGACGTGCTACAGCCATTTGAATTCGTTCAATAATAGTTGCTTTTCGATTCAAGTTCAAAGTCGTTGTACTATTAAGTCCTGTTGATGCTGTTGATACATTTGTAAGTTTCATAACAGTATAGCGTGCTTCTACTATTTTATTTAATTGAAATATTGGTAATTTGTGGCGTCTTTCATATAATGTTTGCCAATTAACAGCGAAAATAACGGGACATGGACAAGTCTTCTGACTTGTATGAAAGCGTTCGATCAACTCGAATACAGCTATTGGTGGCAATACTTCAAAGCCATGTGTACTTTGTAAAGTGCTGAGCCTATCTCGCTGTCGATGAAACATGCTTGCACTACTTACAGCAGGCAAGCTAACTGAGAGCGCAGGTAAACTTAGTTGAGTCATACGATAGTGAGCAAGAGCATCGAGAAATTGATTACCAGCATTATAACCAGCAGATGAACCTTCAAGTAAATGATTTCGAATTGATGAAAACATAATAAAGAAATGAATAGGTGCATCAAGAAACTGTGTAGCTTGATGAAGATACCATGCACCACGAACTTTTGGTGGTAAAACAAGTGATAAATGTTCTTGTATTAAATTATTTAAAGTGCGATCTTCTGCAACAACAGCTCTATGAATAATACCACGAATAGGATAACAACTTTTATTTATTGCGGATTCGAAGGTTTTTCAAGTTCAACTAATGTTCGAGGACTCATTAGTACAATATTTTTAACACCTTGTTGTTCAATCATCCACCGAGACATTGTTAAACCAAGACCACCAGATATTAAAATTGTTCCTTGATTACAAACTTCTGATGGAAACATTGTATTATCACTCACAACTATTGATTAAGAAAACAGAAAAAATAATAATTAAAAGAAAAAAAAGATATAATTACCTTTTAATAAACTATTAGATTGTTTTTTATGAATAGTTAATGGTTGATCAGACAAAGTTATACGAATAACTGTTTTACCCATAACTTGACCACTATTACATCTTAATAATGCTTCTATTACTTGAGATGGTTCATAAGTAACTGTTGGTTCAACAGCACGCAATTTATGTTGTATAAATAAATCAATTGCTTCTTCTAGCATAACACGAATAAGAGGTGATACATGATCAGCAAGTCCAGCGAAGTCAGTCACATGAAAACTACAATCTGATCGTAATTGAAACATCGATAAATTGCCATTATGATAAATATCTCGTTTACCCCATTCAACAAAATTACCGTGATATGCTAATAATTTAATTGATTCTTTTAATAAATTACCTGATAATGAATTAACAATAACATCAACACCTTGTGGAAGGATTTTACGTATATTGTTAACAAAAGAAGTATCTCGACTATTAAATACATGTTCAATACCATAATATTCATGAAGAAAACGTCGTTTTTCTTCAGTTCCAGCTGTAGCAATAACACGAGCACCAATATATTGACAATATTGAATACACCATTGTCCTGCAGCACCTGTTGAAGCATGAATAAGAACAGTTTGATCAGTTTTCAAATGAACACAATATTTAAGAGAATATATAACTGTTAAAAGTGGAGTTGGCATACCACATAATTGTTCATCAGTAAGAGGAAAATCAGATGGAATACGTATTATAAGTTGTGAATTAATCATAATATGAGAATGATATGTACCAAGACTAGTATTACCTACAACATGATCACCAACCTGATAATTAGTTGTAGGACATGCACGTACAATGGTACCAACAAAATCTGAGCCTGGTTCTGTATCTTAATTAACTCTTGGTTGATTTTCATCAGATTGTGCAAAAGTACGTGTATATGGATAAAGACCACGTGATTTGAGTACATCACGAAAATTAATACCAACACAATGAACACAAACTTCTACTATGCCCGGTAATAATTCTTTTTCTCTCTCTTCTTCAATCCATGTTAATTCAGAAAGAAAATGAGATTGTGGTACACAAAGACGAAATGCTTTTTCATCAGCATCTCGTTTAGGAATAATAGAACTTTGTTCGTATTTAGATTTCTTTTGTTCATCATTATTTTTGTAACATTTCATAATGTCATGTTAAATGTTGAACTTGATTTTGATTTGTATGATTACGACGAAGAACAACTTGACAAATATCAGTTGAATATCTTGAATTAATCATATATTCTATTAAAGTATGAATAAATGTTGATTGATTATTATTATTTAATGATATTTGAAGATCAATAAGTTTTAATCGATTTCGTTCATATTCAGTTATTAAACTTCGTGCAAGGCCAATAAATGGTGATGCAATTAAATTAAGATTAGAATCATTATTAAATTGAGCATGATCTGTAAGAACATATACGAATGGATAAAAATATGGTGATGATTTTTGAATTGTTTGAAGAATATGTGATAATGTTCCACATATTAGTTCTTCATTTTGTTTAAATGCTAAATCATCATTATTTTCATTAAGTGCTACTTGATCAAGTTGCCATGCAAAAATAATAGATACTTGTTTATAAGTAGTTAATAGAACTGTTATTGCAGAACAAATCATATCTAAAGTTGAATTCTGAATATCAAAAATTCTGATATTTGAACATGGTAATAATGATGATAGAATATGACTAAAACTATTCTTATTATTATTATCGTTTTTAGTGAATATTAACCATGTTTGATTTTTTCTTTCATCAAGTGTTTGTAATATTTCTTTTGATATTGTCTTTTGACTAATAATTAATGTACTTTCATTTTGATTTAATATTGATTCAGTAATATCAAATCA